CACCCTCGTCTCCTGCCTTCTTGTTGTTGTTGTTTCTCCGTGTCTTCAAGACACGCAGTATTTTGTTTAACGGTTAATATCACACCGCAGGATTAACCAGTGCGGGCTACCGGGTTTGAACCGCGAACCTCGGCAACGAGCGACAAATGCGCTACCGCTGGCTCGCGTGAACAACATGGGGATGATGATGAGGATGGGGGTGATGGTGATACGATGCTTGCAATCGTGATGATGATGATGTGCATTCTGCTGGCAATGATGACGACATTAATGACGATGGTGGTTCTGCCAGGTGATGGTGCTAGAAATGATGATTGTGACACAAATAGGAATACTGATGGTGGTCATGATGATGACGACACTCGGCATGATGCTGATAATTATCTTGATGATCCTGACAGGCCATCGCGACGCAAGTGGTCATCGTGATGCTGACAATGATACCCGTGGCCCCGCGGCTTGCCACACGTGAAGGGTGTCGAGTCGCTAAATCTGGCACGCGTCTGCCCGAGTGAATGCGCGGCCTCTAATTTATTGGCCACGAGTAAATATATCTGTTCGCGGGCCCCTCTATGAGCTCATGGCTCGAGTCGGGGTGGCTGGCTGACGCGCCCGGAGCGCGCGCAGCCATCAACACGTTCACTCGCACATCAAGCAGATGGAATCAGCAGCAGCAGAAACAGCAGCAGCAGCAGAAGCAGCAGCAGCAGAAGCAGCAGCGAGCAGCAGCAGCAGCACCACACTCGGACACACAATGCAGAGATTTCGCCGCCGATTACACAATGGTGCAAATCCTCCAACGGCCCCCTACACTCACCCACACAGCCCGCCGCTCCTCTGTGCACAGCAGCAGCAGCGGCGGCGTTAAGGGTAACACATCGGTTGAGTTCTAATGATCGGGCAAATCGCGCGTGCGGTGGAGGTAGCGCGTGTGGGAGACTCCTACACCGTTCCAACACGACGCACCGGCCACCGTGCACGGCTGCTCCCACAGCGCTGCCTACCCTTGCAGGCTCTCCTCTCGAGCTCGTCTCGAGCCGAGCAGCGTGCAGGCCCCGCGTGCTCCCCCCCTTTGCCTCGTGCACGGCGAGTGACCGGCGGAAAAGCCCTGGGCTCCGAGAGACGCCGCGCGGGTTTTGCGTCGGCGCTAAGCGCGGCGGTTCCCGGATGAACGGTGCGGCGCTGCGACTGGGTCGACGCCGTTGGGATGATGGTGCACGGGGGGGACGACTCGGTGTCCACAATTACGCAGGGCGGCAGCGAGGATGTGCAGGAGCCGAGGTGCCGATGTCGAGGCCTGCTGTTGGTCACGACGAGAGGGCTTCAGGAGAGGAGGGGAGAGTTGGTGTCGTTTTGCTGTTCCCCCTACGACGGAGGAGCGCAGACTGCTGCTGCTGCTGCTACCACAGTGGTTTGCTGTGCGGTCCACAGCATACGTTGCATGGCCACAGTGGCACCACTGCAGCTTGTCTTTAATGTGTCTCGGTGTATCTGCATGAGTCTCTGTGTGTCTCTGGGTCTCCATGTGTCTCGGTGTATCTGCATGAGTATCTATGCATCTTTATGGGTCTCCATGGGTTTGCGATGTGGCCCCATAGTTTTGGTTGATTGGCCACAGTCACACCACTGAAGCCTGTCTTTAATGTGTCTCGGTGTATCTCCACGAGTCTTTATGGGTCTCCATGTGTCTCGGTGTATCTCCACGAGTCTCTGTGTCTCTATGGGTCTCCATGTGTCTCGGTGTATCTGCATGAGTCTCTGTGTGTCTCTGGGTTTCCATGTGTCTCGGTGTATCTCCACGAGTCTCTGTGTCTCTGGGTCTCCATGTGTCTCGGTGTATCTGCATGAGTCTCTGTGTCTCTATGGGTCTCCATGTGTCTCGGTGTATCTGCATGAGTCTCTGTGTGTATCTGGGTCTCCATTTGTTTACGATGTGGCCCATAGTTTGGGCTGTATCGCCACAGTGGCACCACTGCGGCTTGCCTCATCGAGGCGACGTGGACGCCGTTAATAGGTCACGGTTGTTGACGGCGATCTAAATAATGTATGCGCGAGTATAAATAAAAAGTATCTTCCGTTACCGTGCCTCCTCCATACGTCTCTAATTACACACGTAAGAAGATTAGGCATATTTAGAAAGAGGCGGTGTTAGATTAAATGGGTCGTGAAATGATAGCAACAAGGGAGTTCGTATAGATACGCGGGGGGTAAGACTTGGCACATTGCAGGAGCCACACGCAACCGGTAAGAGAGAGCGAATCGACTTCCACGAGCGATGCGAACGATCGGAGTTCACTGGTGATGCTGGACTGTTGAGCAAATATCCTCAGAGCCGAGTGGGTTGCAGGCAGCGGTCGCCATCGTCTCTGGGAAAGGACGCGGCTTGGGGAGAGACAGCGAGAGAGAGACACGTGCGTTCTAGCGGAGCGCGCACAACGCACGCACGCACCCCCCCCCCCCCTCTCTCTCTCCAACTCAGCACCACGAGACGGAGAGAATTTATTCGGAAAACTCGCAAGAATGAGACGGAGCGAACCCACCCACCACCCCCGAATCTTCACGCGATGCTTCGGTCCGCAGGGAGAGGGAGGAAGGGGCGGCTCTCCCACAGCCGTTCTGCCCAGCACGAGAGAAAAATGTTCGCAGTCGCATAAATGTTCAAACTAATATTGGAGCTCGACTTGAAGTTTTCGTGACTGCAGGAATTCATATTCTTTGGGTCTTTTGCTAAAGCCACGTAGATATATTTAAAATATATCAATATCACGACGATCGCAACACAAGCAATCGTGAGAATATGGGTTTCTCCTTTTATCTGGCAACAAAACAGGTGTTAAGGTGTGAAAACACCAAACTGCATTAACCACAATACTTGTGGTCGAAATGCAAACCAAAAAAAATATACTCTGATAATGATGCATTGTCCTTGAAACTGATTGGTCCGCACCAGAGACAGCTTTCTTTTGAGCCTCGTCTCAAACGGTGTTAGACCAGAGGACGCCAAAAGGCGTACAGACCAAAAACAATGCACTATCAGAGTAACGAGAGCTCGGGGTGAGCATCTACATCATGGGACCTCCTTTGCCACTACCAAAATTAGAGAATATATGTTTTCCCCTTTTATCTGGCAACAAAACAGGTGTGTTAAGTTGTTAAAACACCAAACTGGAACCTTTTAACAAGGAATCATGTCTGCATCAACCACAATACTTGTGGTCAAAATGCAAACGAAAAAACATATGCATTGTCTTTGAAACTGATTGGTCCACACCAGAGACAGCTTTCTTTTGAGCCTCCTCTCACACGGTGTCAGACCAGAGGGCGCCACAAGGCTGTACAACCCTCGTCTTCGTTCACCTGAAGACGACTGCTTGTGTCGCGATCGAAACGTCGCGATATTGTTATTATCTTGATTTTTTTTCCTATCCACGTGGCTTTACCGAAAGACCCAAAGAATATAATATTGTAACTCTCAGAGCTGAAATGTATCCAAGGTAAGGCGAGGAGGGTGGAGGAACACATTTAATGACATTGGATTTTATATGTCCGGTGTCAATAAAGTTACACAAATCTGATCACACACACAGACACACGCGCGCCTACTGAAACTATACACGCACCCCCCAAAGTTTGATTTAAATACTGCCGGGGGGCGAGCGTGAGACTTGTTATCATGGCAGTATCAGCATCATATTGGCACTCGTCACAGAGAGCAAACCCGATAAGAGGCTGTTCTTGGCCTACTCTTCCGTGCTTGTCAGGAAGTTGTGGAAGGGGTGGGAGTACACAGAAGATACCCCCACCACACGCCACCGTAGACGCACGTGGTGGTGGTTTATGGCGGTGGTGGTGGCGGTGGTGGTGGTGGTTGGTGGTGGTTGGCGGTGGTGGTGGTGGCGGTGGGTGGTGGTGGTTGGTGGCTGTGGTTGGTGGTGGGTGGTGGCGGTGGTTGGTGGTGGTTGCTGATGGTGGTGTCGATGGTGGTTGGTGGTTGCTGATGGTGGTGTCGGTGGTGGTTGGTGGTGGTGGTGGTTGGTGATGGTGGTGGCGGCGGCGGTGGTGGTGGTTGGTGGTGGCGGTAGTGGTGGTGGTTGGTGGTGGTTGGTGGCTGTGGTTGGTGGTGGTCGGTGGTGGTGGCGGTGGTGGCGGTGGCGTTGGCGGTGGTGGCTGTGGTGGTGGTGGTGGCGGTAGTGGTAGTGGCGGTGGTGGTGGCGGTGGTAGCGGTGGTTGGCGGTGGTGGTGGTAGTGGCGGTAGGTGGTGGCGGCGGCGTACCCAAGTCGTTTAGACCGCTGCAGGGTGACAAGACGCGTCGTGGAGGTGTTCGAGACATCTGGTGACCGCAGCAGAATCTCCCTGCCGCGCCTGGAGACCGAACGTAACGGCGCTGGCCGCATGGAGTCTCTCCAGGCGTGAGCGCGTTATAACAGACGGATTTGAATATTAATAGCCGCTTCTTGCGTGGGGCTTCGAGGCGGCTGCGGGTATTTTTAGAGAGGAGGGTGGCGAGTAGGAGGAGGGTGGTGGTGGTCGTGGGAAGACACTCGCGCTTGCGACAACTCAGCTGCCGGTCACAGCTCTGAGCGCCCTGAGTTCAGTGTTTGGTCGCCTACGCACACACACACACGCGCGTGTACTTGCGTACACACACGCGTGTACTTACATACACACACGCGTGTACTTACACACACGTACACACACGCGTACACACACACACGTGTGTACCTACACACACGTGTACTCACACACGCACGTCTACACACACGCGTACCTACACACACACACTTGTAATTACACACGCACGTCTACACACACACGTGTACCTACACACACACACGTCTACACACACACACGTGTACCTACACGCGTACGCGCTCACTGGACACCCGCGGGATGTGACACTGAGGCCACGTGCGGCTGTGGTGGCGGTGGTGGTGGCGGCGGTGGTGGCGGTGGCGGCGGTGGTGGTGGTGGCGGTGGTGGTGGCGGCGGTGGTGCTGGGCACGGGAGGGGCCTCCCATTCGCACCCGGTGGGATGCGCCGTGTGCCCCATGACGAGGCTGAGCGAGGAGGTTCTTCGCGCGCGAGGTTCGATCCCGAGGTCGCTGCGAGTGGAGGAGGGAGACGGATCCTCATCATGACCGCTCGGAGATAACCCGCCTGCCATTTGAACTGCTTCGAGATAAGGGCGCCTTATCCATCTTCATCATCATCAGCAGCAGCAACAAATAATAATAAGAATACTAAGAGCAAAGAAGAGTCTTGGAGGTTTTTGTTTTTGGATAACAGAAGATACTGAAAATCCAAGTTGATTCGTTGATTGTTCATTGTTACACGTTATACGTCTAATTTATTTCAGATATAATTATTAATAGCACGTGGTCAACGAATGACATTTACCAGGGCGTAATAACCCACCGTCATAAGTTTTAAACAGCAGCAGCAGCAACAGGCGGCGAGCGAGGGACAGCTTTTGGAGACTGGATCACAGAAGGGTGGCGGTGCTGGTGATGGCGATGATGGCGGTTGTAGCGGCGGCGACGATGATGATGATGGCCGTGATGGTGACGATGCCATCACGCTGCCGCTCGCTGGAGCGATGGTGGCTCATCCTGCAGGTCTTGCTGCTGGCTTCTTCCGAGGGCCTTCCCAGAAGACCCCCGTCGACCCCGGTGCTGGTCCGTCGCCTCCACGTGGCCCCGCCAGAGCGAGCCAGACCATGGAATCCCACGGGGCAGCAGCAGCAGCAGCAGGCAGCCTCCTCGAGGTCGCTATCCCAGCAGCCTGGTGGATTCTGGGGGACCCCGGTGGCCAGGAGCGGCCAGGGAGTCGGCCTCGGGGGTCTGGGACCGTTCGGGGGTCTCGGCCTGGCGTTTGGACTTCACGTGACACCCCTGAGGTCACGGGAGAGTGGAGCGGCCTACCTGGGCGGGGTCATCAAGAGGTTGAGGAGGCTCTATTGCAACGTGGGTATCGGCTTCCACCTGCAGGTCACGGCCGAAGGCAAAATCAGCGGCGTGCACAGCGAGAGCCCATACAGTGAGTGGCGGGCGCGTGGTGCACGTGGATGGTGGCCATTGTGGTGGTGGTGGTGGTGATGGTCGAGGTGGTGATTGTTGTGGTTATTGTGATGGTGGTGGTCGTGATTGAGGTGGTGATTGATGTGACCATTGTGATGGTGATTGAGGGGGTGATTGAGGTGGTGATTGTGGTGGTGAATGATGTGGTTATTGTGATGGTGGTGGTGATTGAGGTGGTGATTGTGGTGGTGAATGATGTGGTTATTGTGATGGTGGTGGTGATGGTCGAGGTGGTGATTGTTGTGGTTATTGTGATGGTGGTGGTGATTGAGGTGGTGATTGTGGTGGTGAATGATGTGGTTATTGTGATGGTGAAGGTGGTGATTGGTATGGTTGTTGTGATGGTGGTGGTGATTGAGGTGGTGATTGATGTGGTCATTGTGATGGTGGTAGTGGTGATTGAGGTATTGACTGTGGTGAATGATGTGGTGCTGTTGATAGTAGTGATCATTGTGATGGTCATGGTGATGGTAATGGCGGTGATGGTGGTGATTGTGGTGGTGGTGATTGAGGTGGCGCTGGCGATAGTAGTGATGCTCATTGAGATGGTCATTGTGGTGGTGGTGGTGATGATGGTAGTGGTGATGGTTTAGGTGGTTATTGCGGTGGTGATTTGAGGTGGTACTGGCGACAGTGGCGATGGCCATTGAGGTGCTCATTGTTGTTGTGGTGGTGATTGAAGTGGTCATTTTGGTGGTAGTGCTTGGCATTGTTGCTGTTATCGGTTATGCTAGTTGTGGTGATGGTAGCAGTGACGGTGTTGCAGGCAGTGGGGGTATCACAGCAGGTGTCGTCTGCTTTGACACGTGGATCATCAACACGGTCATGGGCAACATATATGGAGCAACAATTGACAAATGCACCAAGGAATTGCGCGGAGACGCACGCTTGGAATGACACGCGGGCGAATGGCATCATCATCACCCGCAGTGCTGATACAACAACAGCAGCGACAATAAACGAGTGGGGCTTGGGCAGGGAGACGCGTCGTCACGTCCAGAAGAGACTCGGGTGGTCGAGAATCATTAACGGAGTGCGGCAGGCGAGGAATGCGGCGTGTCCTGGACGATGTCGGGACCACCGTGGAGGAGTACGGAGCGACGAGGGAACGGAATCGTCGCTCCTCGTGTGTAGAGCGGTGACGGGCGGATCGCCGCGCGAGAGGCGGCGGTGACTTGGGAGGGAGGAAACCTTCATCCAGCAGTGGATTGACCACGGCTGGTAACGGCGATGATGATGATGATGGTGATTCTAAATATGATGGTGGTGGTTGTTATCGCACGGTTAGTGCACTAAACACGGAGCGGTGAGCTTCAATGGCTGTGCCTCTGCATGCCGAGAGTGAGCGGTTCGTGATTAAGGAGGAGGTGATATTGATGATGATGATGATAATATTGATGATGATGTTGCTGATCATGCAACTTGCAAACGTCTGACATGAACAGAAGCAATACTTCTTCTACAAGAACTTGAGCAAGGTGCACTTCGTAAAACACATTGTAGATCAATATAGCGGTCTCTAAATGCGACTGCATTTCAAACATTGCACAAAATTAGTGGCCATGTGCATTTGAGAGTCACTAATTGGGGTCTATGGGTTTCTGTATGAGTCTATGGGTCTCTGTGTCTATGAGTCCCTGTATGAGGCTGTGGGTTTCTGTGTGAGTCTGTGGGTCTCTGTGAGTCTATGGGTCGCTGCGTGAGTCTGTGGGTCGCTGCGTGAGTCTGTGGATTTCTACGTGAGTCTGTGTGTCTCTGTGTCTATGGGTCTCTGTGTCTATGGGGCCTATATCAGGCTGTGGGTTTCTACGTGAGTCTGTGGGTCTCTGTATGAGTCTGGGTTTCTTTGTCTATGGGTCCCTGTACGAGGCTGTGGCTTTCTACGTGAGTCTATGGGTCCCTGCGTGAGGCTATGGGACTCTGTGCGAGTCTATGGGTCGCTGCGTGAGTCTTTGGGTCTCTGTGCGAGTTTATGGGTCTCTGCCAGAGGCTATGGGTCTCAGTGTGAGTCTATGGGTCTCTGTGTGAGTCTATGGGTCTCTGTGCGAGTCTGTGGGTCTCTGCGTGAGTCTGTGGGTCTCTGCGTGAGTCTATGGGTCTCTGTGTGAGTCTATGGGTTTCTGTGTGAGTCTATGGGTCTCTGTGAGTCTATGGGTCTCTGTTCGAGTCTATGGGTCTCTGCTTGAGACCGTGGGTCTTTGTGTGAGTCTATGGGTCTCTGTGTGAGTCTATGGGTCTCTGTGTGAGTCTATGGGTCTCTGTGCGAGTCTATGGGTCTCTGCGTGAGTCTATGTGTCTCTGTGCGAGTCTATGGGTCTCTGCGTGAGTCTATGGGTCTCTGTGTCGGTCGATACTGAAGCGAGCCGGATGCGAGTTCGTAGAGCGATTTGATTCGACCGCGGCTCAGAGCAAAGACCAACCACGCGTCAGTCACCACCGCGAGTGAACCTTTGTCTCGAACTCGAGACGACGGCGTTCGTAGCGCGGCGCGCTAACCGAAGCGCCACCGCTCCCCGTAATTATTTGACAGATTGAATGGCATTTAAAAAAATATTTTATTAGCACGTGCACGCAAAAGCTCAACCCCCCCCCCCCCCATCAAGCCCCGTCTCAAGCGAGCAAGTGGTTATCTCAGTTTTAGCGGTCCCCCTGAACCAGTAGTGGGAACAAATTCCACATTCCCATGCCGGTGACCAGTCCATCCACCGGACGAACTACTTCTTGAAAGACATCGTCGTCGTCATCGTCGTCTGGCAGCCCGAGTTGCCCATGGTGCCAGAAGATGATGCCAGGGTTGCTTGCTGGTCGCAGGCGACTTTCCCCGAGTCGGTGTCACGGCAGATCTCGAGGGTCACGCGATTCACATCGTGGACGGCCTCGAGCCACGGTGGAGTCCACGGATTCGGCCCCCCCTCCCCCCCTAATGCGCGTGTGGGTGTGTGTGGGGGGAGAGGTGGAGGAATGGGAAGAGGCAATAAGGAAACAAATTGGCCACACCAATGCACACAGAGAGAGAGAGAGCGGCGGAGTGGAGTGTTTAGGCGGTAGCTACGAAGATAAAGACAAAGGCCCCCACCATCGATAGCTTTCACAGCATATTGGGGCAAGGGTTGTTGTTGTTTTGCGGGCAAACGATGATTGGATGGATCGGCACGGTGGATGCGTGAGGGCGGCAAACACCACGCCCGGCCGCCTTTGTCTCCCCAGTGCTGATGTTTACTGCACACTGCACCGTGGGGGGGGGGGGGGAGGTTCTCGTGCCACGAGCGGGAGTTGAACTCGGCTGGCCGGGTTCGCAGCGCGGTGCGCTCACCATTGCGCCACCGCTCCCCACAAATACAAAGATTCCCCCCCTCTCCGTGTAGCCTTAAGGGACTGCTGGGGCAAGTGCTGTTAGCGAGCACCTATGAAGTCAACACAAAAACAGACAAAGATCCCCCGTGTAGCCTTAACAGACTTTTGGGGCAAGTGCTGTTAGCGAGCACCTATGAAGTCAACACAAAAACAGACAAAGATCCCCCGTGTAGCCTTAAGGGACTGCTGGGGCAAGTGCTGTATAGCGAGCACCTATTAAGTCAAACACAAAAACAGACAAAGATCCCCCGTATAACCTGAACAGACTGTTTGAGGCAAGTGCTGTTAGCGAGCACCTATGAAGGCCGGCACGGTACACGAGGGGGTGGGGTGGCTAACACCACGCCCGGCCGCCTTTGTCTCCCCAGTGGCGATGTTTACACACCGCACCAGGTACTCATTTGAGGCTGAGTCGACCTAGGGGAGGCCCAGGACCGTTTCAGATAATCGTCACTGGGTGTTGGCCGTGAGCGGGAATCGAACCCGGGTCGCCAGGTTCGTAGCGCAGCGCGCTACCCGCTACCCGCTACACTACTGCTCCCCATGAGGCATACACTCTGACACAAACACATAGTGAACACGTGCACACGGACGCAATGTCGCACACAGACACACGCATATACCTACACGTGGAAGCAAAGATTCCCCGAATAGTCTAAATAGGCTATTGGGGCAAAGTGCACACCCACACATTAACAGACCCACGCACACTTACACACACACACAAAATACTTGCACACACCCCTACACATAGATGTGCGTACACACACACACCTACACACACGCGCACACCTACAAACACACACCCGCGCACACACCTACACTTACACACCCCCACTTACACACACACCCCTACACACGCGCACACACCTACACACACCTATACACACACCTACACACACACCTACACACACGCACACACACATACCTACACACACACACACCTGCACACACGCACACACGAACCTACACACACGCACACACCTACACACACGCACACACACCTACACACACGCACACACACCTACACACACGCACACACCTACACACGCACACACACACCTACACACACACACACACACCTACACACACACACACACACCTACACACACACACCTACACACACACCTACACACACTCCTACACACACACCCCTACACATACACCTACACACACGCACACACACCTACACACACACACCTACACACACGCACACACACCTACACACACAAACACACACCTACACACACGCACACACACCTACACACACGCACACACACACACGAGGCATGTTCAATTTTGGATCCTCAACTCAGCTCTTTGAGACCGCTAAGAATGTCAAGACGCGCTCTCCCTTCCTCCCTCCCTCCCAGCCCCATCTCCAATCTCCGTATCCCCTCTCCTGCCTCTCCTATTCTCATAGCGCACACTCACACCTCCTCCTCCTCCCCCCCTCCCTCCTCCCTCGTCCTCCCTCTCCTCCTCCCTCCTCCTCCTCCCCCTCCCTCCTCCCTCCTCCTCCTTCCTCTCATCCTCCTCCCTTCTCCTCCTCTCTCTTCCCTCCTTCTCCTCCCTCCTCCTCCTCCCCCTCCCTCTCCTCCTCCT